CTACACTGTGTTACCTAAGGAAAATATGAAGTCACTCAAAGTTTGAAGTTGAATGTGGAGGTTTTCTAATTCACTTTTTAGGGCCTTTTTGTTTGCTGATCAATACCTGGGTTTGCATCAGTGATTCTTGGTCACTTGTTTTTACCCAGTTAACTGTTGGTTCAGTGAATGGAATGATAGTTTTATTTCTGACTTGTGTACGAAGCACAAAGTGCTGGAAATACCCAGTGGGTTTGGATGCATCAATGGATGGAGAAACATGATATTTCAGGTCAAGGACCTTTCCTCGGATGCTATTGTCAGCATTTGCTTTCTTTAGTCATATCTGTCAAATCATCAACCTGAAATGTTAACTCACTCTCTCTCTCTCTCTCTCTCTCTCTCTCTGTCTCCCAGTGCAGCTGCCGATTAAGCTGCCGAATGGCCTGCTTCCACATTTTAGGGATTCTATTTCCAGCATTTTCAGTTTTTATTCCTGATTTCTGGCATCCACAATACTTGGCTTTTGTAGTAGGCTGAAGCATAATGATGGTGCAAGTTCCTGGCTGCAAGGATTCTAACAAATGAAGATGGACAAGTCTGAACCTTTTCTACCTGGGTGTGGCACTGCAGCACAAAATTACCCTTTGCGTGTTCACTGGGAAAATCTAAAACCTTTTTGTGTCAGGGGTTGTGGATAGGAAAACCAAATGCCAACAATGATCTGCTCAATGTTCTGAGGTTTCTAAAGTAAATCTGTTTAATCTGTCTATTATGTGGATTGTGGCAAATAGTTTAAATGATTTCTCACCTTTTTATACAAACATGATGCTGTCTACAGTTTCATAGAACCTTGTAGTATAAAGGCTGCCATTTGGTGGTCTTGCCTACACCAGCTGCAATAGAACTACTCACTTCACCCTGCACCATTCCTTTACCCTCTTTTTCTTTAAATATTTATCCACTTCCCTTTTGAAATGAACCGTTGATTTTACTTCCAACAATGTGTTACTGGTGGGATGTTCCATGGCTTGGGAAAAAAAATCCAACTTCTCTTTTGGCAATGAAAATTTATTTCCTACCTTTTTATTCTGTTGTGGCCCAGCTGGTAGCAGACTCAGCTCTGACTGGCTTCCAAGTCCCGCTCCAAATCTCAAGTACAAAGTCAGACCAGCTGATAAATTATTAGAGAATGCCGGAGCGGACTGTTGAGACCAGAATAGACACGGCTATACTTTGCCATGGTTGTCATATAACCAGACTAGGTGCAGTTCCCATGGACCAATCATTCAGAAACTACATTAACAGCAGTATTCAAGACCCTAAAGAAGTCCAGTATTAAAACAGTAAATATTTTCTCGGTAGTTTCATCCTTGCCAACCTTTCACTATAAGCTGACTCTACTGAAAGCAGATTATCCAGGCATTTGTTAATCATCATGTCATTTATCATGTCGGATGTGGTTCAGTTTGTAGCAGTTGGTCCAGAGATAGTAGGAACTGCAGATGCTGGAGAATCTGAGATAACAAGGTGTAGAGCTGGATGAACACAGCAGGCCGAGCAGGAAAGCTGACATTTCGGGCCTAGACCCTTCTTCAGAAAAGTTGGTCAACAGGTTTGAGTCCAAGCGCCCTCCAGATCCAAAGCATGTAAAATGACTGTGCAGTACTAAGGATGTGTTGTAAGAGTGTGCCATCTTTTGGATGAAATGTTAAATCAAGGTCACATCTTAACTGGATGTAAGAGATCCCTCAGTACTCATGCAAAGAATTGTTCTTCAAAATAAATCCATGGTAGGGTGTTATCCCTGCTGTTCTGGTTAACAATTAATCCCTCAACCAACGTCTCAAAAACCAATTATCTGGTTGTCACGTTGCTATTTGTGGAAGTTTTCTGTGTTTATGTTGGCTGCTGTTTCCTCTGTTGCAACAGCGACCACACTTCAAAAAAAGATTTTCCTTTGGCTGCTTTGTCTTAAACATGTTTAGAGTTGTATGCGGCACCAGTTCAGGCAGTGAACTTCAGACACTTTTAATGAAAAAATGTTTCGGCTCCCTTTAATTTCCTTTTTTTAAAAAATTGATTGGGACTAGCTGGGTCAGCATTTATCACCCGACCCTAGTAGTCTTTGAGAAGGTGGTAGTGAGATGTCTTCTTCAACTGCCTCGGTCTATATTGCATAAATACAATATAAAGGTGGAGACAGTGACATAATGCTCATGTTACTGGACGAGTAAGCCAGAGACCCTGGCTAAAGATGAATCAGCTAACTGACCATGCACTGTGGTACAGGAAACCATTCAAGCGTGGGGAGAAAATTGGGTGTTATTCTTCATTGTAAATGAGTTGTCCAGCCAACTGAGCTAACCAACCCACTGAAATGGAATGTTGTGGTAGGTAGGACGATACAGTGACACTGTGACGAAGAGTGAGAGTTCTGATGGCTGTGTTGTCTGCCCATTGCTGGTGTTTGGGACATCTTCCCTGGGCTGGAGAAGAACTTGCAGTAGGAGGGGAAAGGATCCACGAGTTGTGGCCTACCTCAGTACCAATGACCCCCACCCCTGGCAACGGTAGAAATAAAAGAGGCGTCCGGCTGGAGAAGTGTGAGAAAGTAGGCATCAAATCAGAGCCTCAAAGGTAACAATTGTTGGATTGCTACCCGAGATGTGCATATTGGTCCGGGCCAATTGAGATGAAAGAAATGAATGTGTGGCTCAAAAAGACTGGTGTGGGGTTTCTGCTTCCCTGGGACATTGGCAGCAAGAAGAGGGGTCCGTAAGGCGGCCAAATCATTAGAGACAGTATTAGATCCAAGGGGGAGGCACACAAATTGACCAGAAATATAAACAACAGTCTCCTGCCATCCATCCATTGATCGATGGTGTTAGGAATCTGCACTCGATGAGGCGTGGCTGCGGGTGGATGATGCGGCGGTGGATTGTGAGTGACTGGCGGTGCGGCCTAGCCTGGGAGATTGTGCCCAGTCATCGCGGAGACACACGGAGCTGTAGAGGGGCGGTGAGAGGACCCCGGACACCGAGACCGAGAGAGACCGCAGCTCGAGGCCTGCCATCGCCACCCCGGCTCCTTCCAGCTAGGCCCCGCTCCGGCCTTTCCTTCTCCCAGCCTCCAGCAGCCGCCATGAAGGACACGGCCGGGAAGCACAAGCCCAAGGAGCCGGCCCCGGACAAGGCCAAACTGGCGGCTGGGCCTCCTGCCCCCGGGGATGTGGAAATGAAGGATGTGTCCGCCGAGCCCGAGGCTGAGCAGGTCGAGAGCGGAGAGAAGAGCCAGAAAGAGTTGGACCTGATCACCTTGGAGGGTAAAATATCCGGAAAGAGCAATCAGATACCGCCTTCCCCCTCCACCCCGAAGCCCACCTAAAATATCCCTGTTAGACAGGGGGTGGGGGAGAAACTGGATTGTCCTGGGGTGAGGGGGCGGGTGTTTAAAATATTTGCAAGTAATGAATTCAATCCAAACAGAGTTGGTCAGAGAAAGAACTGTGCCTCACCCCAGCATGGTGTGGGGTGGGTTAGAGATAAAAATATCCACAGAGAATTTACCAGTCCCACACCTAAAATATTCCCAGTGAAACACTGGGGATTTAGTGGGGTGGGGGTGTTTCTGAATAATGGATGTGGAAATACATATGTACAAATAATAAACCTAGATCATCTCAATCTAACCAGAGTGCGTCTCAGGAGCAGGGAGAACTGAATCTCACTGGCAGTGTGTGTCTGTTGGGGGTGGGACTTGTTTAGTTTTTTTTTTAAAAATCCAAAAAGAACAGTCAGTTCTACAATTAAAATATCCCATTGAAACAGTGGGGGTATGGAGGAGAGGACTAAGGCAAGGCTAAAATAGTAAGATATAAATTCAACCATCTCAATCCGATGCAAACAGAGTTGGGGTGGAACGAACTGAACCTCATTGCTGTGGCGGGGGGGAGTAGTTTGTGTTCTAAAACATCCCTGTTAAACAGTAGAGGTTTGAGGACAGAGAGCTGGATGATTGTGGTTGGGGGTGGTGTAAAGATCCACAAATGTTGAACTCAACCGTCTCAGTCTATCAGAGTGGGACTGAGGGTGGCAGAGAACACTGAATATCATCATGCACGCCTTGGGTAAAATGTCCACAAAGAATTATCCCCGAGTAAACTCGACCTAAATTAAAAACCAAAAGAACTGTGGATGTTGTAAATCAGGAACAAAAACAAAGTTGCTGGAAAAGCTCAGCAGATCTGGCAGCATCTGTGAGGGAGAAAACAGAGTTAATGTTTCGGGTCCGATGACCCTTCCTCAGTTCTGACCCGAAACGTTAACTCTGTTCTCTCGACCTAAATTATCTCAGTTAAACAGTGGGGATTAGGTACAGAAAACTGCATCATCACGTGTATAACATATAAAGAAGATTATTGCTGTCAAGCATGACTCAGTCCCCTTGGTCATAGATATATAGCTGTAGCAATCCAGTTGATTAGGTTAATGTTGTCGGATTCTTGTTTAAATCCCACCATGGTCGCTGCTGGAATTTAAATCTAATAATTTGGAATCGTAAAGCTAGTCTCTAATGTTGAGCACACCAGCTATCGATGATTGTTGTAAAAACCTATCTGATTCATTAATGTGCTTCAGGGTTAGGAAATTTGGCCTACATGTGACTCCACACCCACAGCAATAAACTTGAGTCTTATTTGTTCTCTGGGGTCACCTAGAAAGCCACTGAGTTCAAGGTTAATTTGTATTCCACATTCAGTTAACTACTGATTGAATTTAAATGTCAGTGGCAGCAGAAGTGGCACTCGAACCTTTGTTCCAGAGCAGCAGGTTGGTTTGTTAGTCCAGTGCCTTCTCTACTGTGCCACTATCTCCTTTCAAGGGGATAATAAATGCTGGCCTTTTTGAGCAGCACCCATATCCAGTGAAAGAATAGATAAATATATAGAGGTGATAAAATGAGCAGTAAGTGGAATTGAAAGCTCCATAGGTCTGATGATCCTGGAGAGTAAAATTCCCCCACACAAACCTATCACTATGCATCTTAAACTATCCCAGACAGAGTACCCTTGTGGATTAGGGACGGTGCAGTCTGCACATCAAATACACCATTACACAACAATACGTTCAGCTTTAGTTAGACCTCTTACTCTTTTAACCTTTCCTCAGAAGGCAACCCATCCATTCCCGGTATCAGTCTAGTAACCATTCTCTGAACTATCTGCAACACGTTTACATTCTTCCTTAAGTAAGGTGACCAAAACTTTGCCCAACACTTCACATACAGTCCCTCCAGTGTCAAGATCATAGAACAGCGCAGCACGTGAATAGGCCCTTCGGCCCACCTTGTCTGTGCCAACCATGATGCCAATCTAAACTAATCCCATTTGCCTGCATATGGTCCATATCCCTCTTTTCCCTGCCTGTTCATATGTCTGTCTAAATGTTTTAAACATTGCTATTGTATCTGCATCTACCACCTCCCATAGCAGCATGTTCATGCACCCACCACCCTCTGTGTAAAAATTCAAACTTACTTTGCACATTTCCTTTAAGCTATCCTCTTCTCACCTTAAACCTATGCCTCTCAGTATTTGACATTTTCACTATGTAGAAAAGATGGCCCACCCTATTCATGTCTTTCAGAATTTTTTTAGGTTGCTTCTCAGCCTCTGATGCTGTAGTGAAAACAATCCAAGTTTCTCCAACCTCTCCTTATAGCCTGTACACTCCAATCAAGGCAACATCCTAGTAAATCTCTCTTACACCCTCTCCAAAGCCTCAGCATCCTCCCTATAGCGTGGTGACCAGAACTGCACACAATACTCCAAATGCAGCCTAACTAAACTTTTGTACTCATTGCCCCAATCGATGAAGGCAAGCATGCTGTACATCATCTTTACCACCTTATCTACTTGTGTGGCCATTTGCAGGGAGCAAAGGTCTTTCACCCCAAGATCCCTGTGTATATCAATGCTCCAAAGGGCCCTGCCTAATAAAGATTGCTTGAAATAATTTGCCAACAATTGTTGAATCAGATGAATTTCAATCATTTTGCATCCAGCAATTCTATTTTGTAACAATCCGAATTGGATGTATCAGTTGTTTGCAAGCCTGATCAAGTTCTCTTAGTGAGCTGGTTGGGACTTTACAACAATCTCATAAATTTTCTTGGCTACAGTCTTGTGCAAAAGACAGTAAGTGCTTTATCCTAATGCAAGTTACAAACAACAACAAGTTGTAGACTTGATAACTTCAGTTTTATACTTGCCATGGTGGTATTTGAATTTACAATCTCTGGGTTATCAGTCCAATGCCCAAAGCCTTACTGTCAAACCTAATACCTGTCTAATTTCTATCATAACTTATTACTCCATTAATAGCATCGTTAGGATGATGACCTTTTTGACAGTGACAAATAACAGGGTTTCTTATCTCATTTTGTGTAAAGTAGTGGAGAAAAAGCTGTGGAAATAATCCAGTTTTTGTCAAAAACAAGTTACTTATATGGAGCCTTGAGTTGGTAAAAACCTCCAGGGTGCTACAGAACCCCACTGTAAACGTTGGGATATCAGTCAAACTTTAACACCGCAAAGTTGGGATCCCACATACACATACAAAAACAAGCCACCATTTTGAAACGTTATTAGCATTCACAGCCTGTATGGTGTGCTTGTTCCCTAATGCTCCATTATAAGGTACTGATATGTAAAATACATTTAAAGAACATGAGAAACAGGAGCAGGGGTACAAGCAATGGCCTATCAATAAGATCATGGCTGATCTTGGGCTTCATCCCCACTTTCCTACCCATTCCCCATAGTCCCTTAAGAATTGTGGCTGACTACTAATGCAAATGTAGCATGTTGTGGTCAAAAAGTAGGCTTGATTTGTATGCCAAATATCCGCAAAAACAGTTCTGAGGAAGGATCACCGGACCCGAAACATTAACTCTGTTTTCTCCTTCACAGATGCTGCCAGACCTGCTGAGCTTTTCCAGCAACTTTGTTTTTATATGCAAAAACTTGATTTTTTATGGGGTGCTGGAAGAATCTGGCTGCCTTATATGCTGGCCTGATTTATAGGCCAAAATTTACTGTAATCACTAGACGTAGGACAGAGATATTCAGAAGGTTGACAAAACAGATCATACAGATCACTTTCAGAGGTTCTTAGGGCAGTGTTGAAGCCAAGGAGTTTTGGAAGAAAATTCTAACTTTGATGCATGAACTGATTGATTTCCAATGTCAGAGGTGAGTCAAAGAAAATGGAAATTGTGCAGGAGGTCAAAATAATAGGGAAAAGAGGTATGTGATTCGTTTGGTTTTAGGGATAAAAGAGGCTAGGTGATGGGGCAAGGTCACAAAAAAATTTGAAGGTGAAATTTTTTTTTATTTCTATTATGTCTTAACAGTAGGGCAATCACAGGGCAATGTCTTGAAATTTTCTGTGGTTTCTAGTTAAGTTAAATTCACAGGTTGTGTTTTTCACCATTTCAATTGTTTTGGAATTTAAATATTCAAGTATTAGTCATCCTCAAACCTGTTGCTTCATTCCTGTTTAATGCCTATTGTTTAAAAGTGCCTTCACATACTGCGTATTGTATTCAGAGACGCACAGATGGCCAGCTGATAGTGTGCCTCAGAAATTATCAAGTATAATACATTTCATTGCAACGTCAGTCTTATAATGAACATTGGAGGAACCTGCTCTAGAAATGGATCCTATTAGAATGATTCTGTTATTGTAGATGTAATCAATTGGAATTAATAGAACTGGCAGCTTTTCAAAGAACGTAAGAGTTTGTTGTGTAGTGCAGAGAACGATGACTGTTAGGGCTATTGCCTCTACGTTTTCAGGGCATTGGAGAATGAGGTGAATTTTGAATCATAGCCATGGCATTCATGTAATGTGTCTACAGTCTGCACCCTCGCATTGAGCAGAGAATGGAGTTAGTATTCTGAAGTGTCTGGCAAACAACCACCAGCAATATGGGCAGTGTGTTAGAGATGCATGGACTAGCTCATTGTGCTCATACATTTTCGCAACAGTAGGGATGTTATCAGTAAAATACACTGGGAAGATGTTACAGGAAGTGAGGTTGATCTCTTTTTAAGATTTTGTCTTCCAAAGAAATGCATGGAGAGTAGGACTTTGTAAAGAGGCAGCTGAGCGTGGGTGGGAAATTCTCAGTTATCACAGGGATGCTAGGACTTGATGGTAGGAATCAACATCAAAACACACGTAATTCCAGGTAGTTTGAAACAAGGCATTAATATTTTTCCTTTCAGATATCAAAGAACACGTGAAGCAGATTGAGAAAGCTGTTTCAAGTAAAGAGCCACGGTTTGTCTTGCGGGCACTGCGAGCACTTCCTCCAACTTGCCGCAGATTGAACCCCACCGTCCTTTACAAGGCCATCAATGGTTTCTTTGTATCAAACACTTCGATGCGGGATTTCCTTCTGGCTTTTCTCGAAGAGGTTTGTGTTGAACACTGAACATTTGGTAGATGCTTTAATGTTGTTAATGTGCAAATCCAAGGTGATTATTTAGTTGGACAAGGAATTCATCAAATGCATTAGACAAATCAGGGCAGAAGTAACCATTCGTCCCTTTAGTTTATTCCATCATTCGTGGCTAATCGCCACCTCAATTCCACTTATCCTCCTTATTCCTATTGTTTCCAAAAGGGAATGCTTAACTCATTCACCTGAAGTTTTCAAAGAATCATCTCGAGTTTACCATTTAGCACCCGCCTAGAAGTTAAAGGAAAACTAAAATATGTGTTGTCAAGCTATCTTGCATCAAGTGATTTGGATAATATAACCATTTGCAACACCAACCTTCTGTCAGGATCTGCACAAGCTGAGTGAAATCATTATACTCTTGTTACTGATTCTTGAAAATGTGAATTAAGAATTGTTTATTAACATTAGAGTTATAAACATAAATGTTTGAAGTACTAAATCAACCAGTAGGATTAATTGACAAACTAAAGGCAGTTCAGCATTCACTGTTGAATTTACAATTGCGATCAGTGGTCTGATCAATATAAATGATATTAATTTAGAATTAATTTTCTTAGCTGACAAGTTAACGTGGATTGGATAGCTAAACTATTAAATGCTTATAATTCTTTTATTTTTACATGGAATGTGGATGTTGCCCATCCTTAATTGCCCTTGAACTGACTGACTTGCTCAGGATAGTTAAGAGTCAACTATATTGCTCTAGGTCTGGAGTCATATGTAAGCCAGAACAGGTAAGGATAGAAGATTTCCTTCCCTCAAGGATGTTAATAAAACAAATTGGCTTTTTATGACGATGAATGATCACTTCTTGGCAACATTACAGCTATATAATTCCAGGTTTATTAATTGGATTTAAATTCCAGCAGCTGCTATAGTGGGATTTGAACCCATGTACCTCACAGCATTTAGCCTTGGGCTCCGAATGACTACTCCATTGCCATTACCACCGCAGTACTGTCTCCTCCTGTAATAAGCCATGTTTCCAGAACGTATACAATCTTTGTCTTCGATAAAGAATGCGGGTGAAATGATTTTCTCACCTTTATCTGAAAGGTTGGTGTGTGCATTGTTAAGTTCGCTGGTATGGCGTGAGGTACGTCTTTTTTTGTACCACACAAAGCCTTAAATCCCCAGCATGGTGAGCATTTTTTGACTGGTCAATTGAAAATGATTACTCTGAAGACAATGCAATGCAGTTCCTTTTTCTAGCTGTTATTTATTTTTAAGCCCATGGATACAGAGGGAGATGTGCAGTTTCGCCCTCGAACGGGGAAAGCAGCTACGGTACCACTTTTACCTGAGGCAGAGGCTTATCTTCAGCTTTTACTTGTCATTTACTTGACGAACAACAAACGATACATTGAGGTGAGTGAGTTTTAACTTCGAAGATAGTCATCCAACAGAAAGTTGTACACTGTAAAACCTTAAATGAGCAGTAACGCTAGTTTCACTAATTTATAAGTTGCTTAAGAAAAGTTTTTGTGTCTTTGTAGCAGTTAAAAAAACACTTGGTTTTATATAGCTCCTTTCACATCCTCTGAATAATCCAAATTCCTTCATAACCAAAGAATTGCATTTGAAGTGCTGTTACTATTTTATAGGGAAGTTTGATAGCCACATTGTACAAAACAAAGTCCCCAAGTTACCAATTCAGTAATGATCAATCTTTGTTTTAATAAAGAGCAAGAGTTAACATTCCACAGATACTGGACAATTCAAAGCACTTTCCAACCTGTTAATTACTTGTATCCCGGCCATGCAATGGAAAGAACGTCCCTACTCTTCACCAGTGCAGGCAAATATTTTATGCCCACCTGACCAGATAGTTCAGTTTAGTGTCACATCTGAAAGATGGCACTTCTGACGATTATGGCATTCTTTCAGTACAGCAGTAAAGAGTTAGCCTAGAGTAAATGCTTAAGTCTTTGGAATGGGGCTTTAACAGATGGTCTTCTGACTCACGTAAGAGCATTGTCATTGAGCCAAAGCAGACTCTGACTATTATTCCATGGACAACTAAATTGACCAGGTAACTGATAACCAGAACATACTTCTCGCATTAATGTGCTGCGTTTGTGGGAATTTTAGGAACTGATTCCAAAAGTGGAATTTGGTCAGTTTGATAGCTGGTGACAAACCTATCATGTCCTTTCCAAGAAACCCCTTTGAGATTAGTTTCTAATTAGCCCATCGGCTGCCATTCGGGTTCCCAGGTTCATCAGGGCATTTTCATGCCACATTTCTTGGTGTAAGGAAGCATGTGTCCCCCCTCTCAAGAGCTGCTAGAACTGCAGTAAGCCTGAGAGCGAGGATTGTCACTGGAGCTCTAGAACACGGGTAAATTGGGCAGCGTTGCCAGAGTCATTCATAGGGGCCCTAGCAAGTGTCCTTTGTTGAGACCGTGCCTAAGAAGGAAGGGTTCTTGCATCAGCAAGGTCACTGACATGTCGACTGAGCTTTATCTGGGAGTTGGCCAGGCCCCTGCCTGCTGTTGGTTGAATACATTGATGGTGAGATGTGGCCACTGATAAGGACCTCGAATGACCTTGGGGACTCCAGGGTGTTCTCCATCCTTCCACGCTCCTGAGTGTGGTTGGGAAAGTGTCAGACTCTGCACTCCACACCTTCCCTTCCCATTTTACAGTTGTGGGAAAGGGGGTAAGTGTTAAATCCTGTCCCACGCACTCAAGAAAATGCATAAGTTATAGCATTGCCTTCTCTTATTTTCATAAATGCAATCAACTGGCAATTCACATAATTTAAAATCTTTATTCTTCTGTGATTGTTTTGTTTGAATCTGGTCCACGCTATTACAATGGAAATATTGTCTTTAAACTTCCTAAGTGGATAGAAAAAAAGAGCTACTTTTAATCCAGATATTAGTTAACTCCTTTTGACATAAACTTCTCGGGCTGGGATTTTGTGGTGAGAGTGATGGCGAAACTCTTTGCTGACAGTTCAAATTTAGTCAGGGCTCATCGTGAAAAAAGTAACATTCCAACTTTCCAAAAGACCTGATATAAAGGCACTTCTTCGATGAACATTAAGCTTGAGGTTCTAGACCAGAGAGCCTGTGGTTAGATTCAACTTGTGACTGAACTGTCAATTGCCACATTACATTTGATCTCTGCCTTACCAGGAGGCACTGAGGTAATCACCCAGGTGTTCCCTCTGGCCTGTCGTCTGTAAAGTGTGTATGTGCAGGCCTCAAGTTGAATCACCTTAATTTATATTGTAATTTTAATGCAGTAAGTGGCCTCACAAGTCTACTCATCAAACATCAAGCCCTATTTAAAAAAAACTTTGGGGCTTTGGTGTGGTGTAGTGTAAACATTTGGTCAAAGCAGCAACTTTGGAACAGTTTTAAGGGGAGGGAGCAGAAAGCATTAGGAATGTCATTCTAGAGTTTCAGGTCCAGTCAACTGAAGGCACCACCACCAGTGGTACACTTATGCAAAAGTGAGGGTGCACAAGAGGGACAGAATCAGGAGAGTGCAGTGATTTCAAGCTGTGATACCTACAGTGGTTGAAAATTGTTGCTGCTTATTGTTTACTGCTGCATTTGAAGATTGCTGACTTACAAGTGATATTGGAACATCTAGTATGATTTAACACCTTCAGAACAGAGTGAAAGGTGGCACTAAAGAAACCCAGTGCTTAAGGCATTTTCTTTTTTTCTGTAACACAGGCACAGAAATGCTCAGATGATTTGATGCAAAAGATTGCTGCTCAGAATCGCCGGGCTCTAGACTTGGTCGCAGCTAAGTGCTATTATTACCATGCTCGTGTGTATGAATTTCTCAGTAAGCTCGATGCAGTCAGAAGGTGAGAAAGTTGTTTTACTTTAGACCTTTGAGCACAACGGTAATGATTTGTTAAAATTACAGTTCTGAGTATAGCAATGAAAATGAAGGACTGTTTTGGGGATTTGTATATCTTGGTACTTGAATCAGCAATTTACCACATTAGCTTCCAGATGATAGATATTAAATCCAATTGTTCAGGAACATGTCAAGTTTAATCTGTATACTGTAGTTGCTCATTTGGTAGTGGGAATACTGTATTTAGAGTTCAGGTCACCATGCTGGGCGAACTCACAATAAAGCTAAAGTACATGTATATACATAGAAGCATAAAAAAGTCAGAAAGCCACTTGGGCAATTATATATGTCTTGGTTCCATATCAGAGTTAGCTAACATGGTTCTGTTCCCCTATGCCTTTTAGTCAGATCCACTAGAGATCAATGATTCTGAGACCCGAGTAGAAATGCCTTCCATATTTTCTCCTTGTTTTCCAAACTTTATTGCTCATTGTAAATATACTGCCGGTGTTGGAGAGGTAGTGATATGTAGACTTTGGGATTTAAAAGTCAGCTTGGGTTCAAGCTGAGCATCAAGAGTTTGGATGGTTTGTTTTGGCTAATGGGAGGTGAGGGACAAATTATTAGAAAAGGAATTAAGTATGTAACAGAGGCTGAAAATTATAGATGTGCAGTTCCCTACAGCTACTCGTGACTAAAACATCCCCAAGTACTGGCAAACCTGTTACAGAATCTGGGGGATAGCTGTAGAAATTGGCTTCAGTGCATTGCAGAATTTTAGCTTTGTTTAAGTGTTTTATAATCAAATTGTCTTCAAAACTAGACATAGTCGAATAACCTTTTGTAAGATTCTGATTCTTGTAATCATCCATTGTTCTGCTTCTAATGCGAACCCATAAGCACATGATTCACAGATTGGTGAAACAATCTTTTATTATTTGCTAACTCTTTGGTAATATTGAGCATATTTAACTCCTCTAACATTCTGGCTCTGTGAATTCAGCCTAGTTATTCGGGACTTATAACTATATTGTGTCCTCCATGTATCTTTCTTAGGATGCAGGCTTGGAAATCTTTGAGGGTGAATAGGGTGGTGTGAGTGGGCTGTCCCGAATTACCCTTAAGGTCCTGGAGAAGCAGCAAAGGCAATAAATGTTGCCCTGCCAGTAATGTTCACATTCCATGAATTTTGCATGCACATTCCCTTTGGCCAGATCCTGTTGTATCTCCATAATTCTTCAGTACTCCATGGCTGAAGTGATTTTTTGGCTGAAACCTGTGGAAGCAATGAATCCCAGCATGAAAGCTACCATCAGTGGAAGAGAGCAAAGTGAAAGGCAATGCCTGTATGTACTGTATGATGGTAAAGCAGAGTGGTATGTATCTTCGCTCTGACCTTGGGTGTAATTTTATAATCTTGTGACTCAATAATCCATTTCTTTTTCCAAAGTTTTTTGCATGCACGTTTGAGGACAGCCACCCTTCGCCATGATGCTGATGGACAGGCCACTCTGCTGAACCTGTTATTGAGAAACTACCTGCAGTATAACCTCTATGATCAGGCAGAGAAGCTTGTCTCCAAATCCATTTTCCCAGAACAAGCAAATAACAATGAGTGGGCAAGATACCTGTATTATACTGGTGAGTCTCAGTCCAGCCTTACAATATGTAGTAGCTGCTAAAGAGTTCTTTTGAAAGAAAACTTTCCTTCTGTAGCGTTCTTTTGACAACTTCAAGATATCCTAGAGAGCTTTATGCACAATTAAGTACTTTTGAAGTGTAATCACTGTTGTAATGTAGGAAATATGGCAGCTAGTTTGCACGCAATAAGCTCTCACACGCAGCAGTGTGATAATGACCAGATAATCTGTTTTTTTTTTTTTTTTTTTAGTGATGTTGATCAAGAGCTAAATATTAACTGGTACATTCTCCGGTTTAGAAGAATTTCATTGAATTGTTACCATCCACTAGATGGGGCCTCCATTTAATGTCTCAGCCAAAAGGTGGCACCATGGACAGTGTGGTACTTCCTCAGAACTGCACTGGAATATCAGCCCTGAGTTTTGTGCTCATTGTCTCTGGGGTGCATCTTAAATCCACAACCTCCTGACTCAGAAGCAAGAGTGCTACAAACTGAGTCATAGCTGATGCAATTCTTTGGGAATGAAAGCAAAATAAAGACTTTTGTGAGATATTGTGCCTTCTGAAATGCCCTTTCAGTTTTTTTGCAGTCACGACACAGCATTTTTCCCTTTTTATGACTAAATTGTTGTTTTTGAAGTGTTTCCAGTATTTACAATTCATGTTATCTGATCATCTATCGCACCAGATAGGTGACAAATACACCTGTATTACAATTGTGCAATATACTGTCCACAACTTTTAAATCACTGTGACAAAAATTGTTTGAAAACTTTGCAACATTCTAGCAAAATGTCAGTCAGTAAATAATTTGTTCGTTGTGTTGAAATATTTTCTGGAACCTCCTGCTTTGTACATGCTGATTAGATATATCAGTAATATCCAAGTAAGTGTTTGATTTAGAAAATTAATTGAGTTTGTTGCATGTAGGTCGTATCAAAGCAATTCAATTAGAATACTCGGAAGCACGAAGAACCCTGACTAATGCTCTGCGAAAGGCACCACAGCACACTGCAGTTGGCTTTAAGCAAACAGTGAGTCAAAAAAGAATTATAGAGTGGAATCATTTTACAAATATCATGTTTTTTTTCTCTCAATGTCATTCATCTTAAAAACATTGGTGGCCTCGTAAATCTGTTAACAAAACTAATTTTATGAGGACTGTGTATTTCTTTACCAGGTTCATAAGTTGCTGATTGTGGTGGAGTTACTATTGGGTGAGATTCCTGACAGGCTACAGTTCCGACAACCATCGCTCAAGCGCTCCCTGATGCCATACTTCCTGCTTACTCAGGGTGTGTACGAGGCAGCTGCGATCAAATATTTTTAGTTTAAAAACACATTTCATTTTATTCTTCCCTTGGAAAACCAGTTGCTTTGAAGTTTCTTGTGAATTCAGCAAGTGAAGATTGCCTTGTATGTGTCACTTACAAAGCAGTCAATAGCACCATCTAGTTGAAGTAAATAGTTTCATCCCTTGTGCCACCTCAAGCCATTCTCTTTGCAACTTTCCATAATACTGAAAGGTGAAAAGATAGAAGTAGTTTAGCCATACTGTAAGGCTGTGGAATTCAGCCTGAAAGCGATCCATATTAGCATTTTTTTTGGAATTGATGACTTAGTGACTGTTAAATTGTGCCTTTTAAGATGACCGATGTATTCAACCAATATGTGCTGCTGTTTAAACTTCAGTTGTTTAACTTTGGATTAGATCAAAACAATCATACATTTGGTTAAGGTTTAGCAGGTTTTTAATTTCATTAATTTGGATTAGATTACTTTTAGCCGTGTCCACTTCAATATTCACATCAGAAGCTTCAGCCTCCACCTGCTGGTTTATTAAAATGTCAGCAGCATTTTTAAAGACTCTGGATTAGTATCTCTGCCTTGTGGTTTTGAAAGCAACCTAGATTGATTAGATCAAAATTTATTTTTTCTGTTTTTTTGGTCAGATTTGTGAGTATCTAGGACAGCCTCAATCAAGAGCTCACTGAATGTGAAGCTTCAGGACAAACTATCCCTAGTTTGGTAGGGGCATTCAGAGGCGTCTCTGGTGGAAATTGAATGAAGTATGGTCTGATGTTGCATTGTAGTGATAGAATAGAGCAAGATGATTAGCCTGAGACTTGGTGAATCCCTGGAAATCCAGTGGTGAAGAATAGAGAATTGCATCATATTTATGCTCTTATTAGTTGATTTGACCCTCTGTATCTATCTGGCCTGGATTTGCATAGGGCTGCTTTTAGTACTGTTACCATCACTGACTTGTGATGCACGCAATTTATAAGAACATAGATTGAAACTGAGAATCTTCATGCTACATACCAATCAGCCCAAAAATCCAGAAGTTTGGACAGCGTGTGGATTTTAAGCTCCCGTCTACTGGAAGCACATGTTGATGACACTGAATGCCAAAAATGTATATCCTTCATTTAATTTCAGAAATGTTAAAATTAGTTTAAAGGTTTTTGATCTTGCAAACTCATGATCTCAGTCATACTAATAAATGGAATTATTTCCAGTCTGTTTTAATTGGGTGTTAAGTTTATTCTTCTGTGTTCTTAATTTTTATATTCTTTGGTTTTATAGCAAAAATGTTTGTTTTCTTATAGGTTTGTTTCTTTGAGCTGTTTCTGTTTTATTTCAACAAAAACTCTGTTTAAAATCTGCTGCATTTCAAAGTCGCCCTGAGTGAGCTGTTTTCAATTTGGACAAATAACTTCACATTTCTGTCTTTCCCTCCACTAGCTGTGCGAACGGGAAACTTGGCCAAGTTTAACCAGGTTTTGGAACAATTTGGAGAGAAATTTCAGACTGATGGCACCTATACATTGATCATCCGCCTGCGACACAATGTCATCAAAACAGGTAAGAATTAGGTCTTAAGTTATTAATCATTTGCAGCTTTTCATCTGTTTATTTAGTTACTTCACCTGCTCCCAGGGCAGTGCATCTTGAAAGATCTCTTGATATGGGAGATTCATATTCTAGTCCTTGTAATGTGTGCACATTTGTATAGCAATCCACTCAAACTGCCCAATGTGGGGTAATTGTTAGGCTCCTTATTGACTCCGCAAAGAAGATATTCTGTAGAGTGTGTTACTAAGCCATACAAACTACAAGTTTGATTCTCAGCTCATGCTGATCTCAACTAGGGTTGGAGTAGATTAAGTACTATTCACTGTTGTACAGTTGGTCATCCATTTACCAAAGCAGGAATTGTCTGTCTTCCACATTTGTTTATTTGCATTTCATAATTTAATAAAACCCTCAGTCTGTTCTTACCCCTTCCTAACTAACTCCTCTTACTGGGGGAAAAAAACAGCCCTTTCTTTTTAAATCAACCTGTGAATCCAGGCCTTTTAGCCTAGAGTTAGGGACATTGGCACTACAAATGAGCCATTAAAAACCAGCTGCTGAATATAGTTATTCTCCACTCCATCTCTTCAGTGATGTTATTACACACCTCTGGAGCAGGTGGGACTCGTCTCAAAGTAGGGATACCACCATTGCATCACAAGATCCCCCAGCCCTTTTTCTAAATGCTACTTCTGTCTCCTCTCCGATTGCATGTACTTATTGAAATAATCTGTTCAGACATGTTATAACACGCCTCTGAGGCAGATGAGACTCGAACCCAGACCTTTCGGTTCTGAGGCAGGAACACTGTCACTGTGCCACAAGATTTTAGTTTATGTTGAGTGTCTTACTGTTGCTGCAACATAGGGATAGAAACTCAATCCTTTTCTTCCACTGTTGCAGGTTTTAAGACAGATTAACCTTTTAGAGTTGAGACAGCATTTTAAAATATTTAACCATTTGAAGAAGAGAAAGGGCAGGCTGGGAACCTGAGAAGCCAGTGGCAAGTTTGGTGCTTGAGAGAGAGAAGCAGAGAACTGAGGGGGCCAGAGTTCAAAACTCCAGTACTATCTGCTACAGTGTCTGTCCCATTTAATCCACAGCCCCTCAAGATAAACGTTCTGAAATCTTTTGTATGTTTTGATTATGCTTGCTGTTGCAGCATAAGAGATAATTAAAAAAATTTTGAATCATAGACAATTTTTAAAACCTCTCTTTCTCCCCCTTACAGGTGTAAGAATGATTAGTTTATCTTATTCTCGGATCTCTCTCACTGACATTGCACAGAAGCTGCAGCTGGACAGTCCTGAAGATGCTGAGTTTATTGTTGCCAAGGTAAATTTCAGTAGGAGGATTAAAAGAAAAATTTGTTGCTTTAATTCTGCAATTTAAAACCAAAACGCGCTGCAAGTGCACAGCAGATCAATCAGTGTCTGAAGGATAAAGGGTGAGGATTTCCCTTCCTTGGAGGTAACTGGACCAGTGATGGGAAGCTCAAATAATTGGCTGAGTTGGTGCTGCTGCGATATGAACCAGGAGGGTCACCAGTGGACATCCCCAACCCATAATCAATTAAGGCCTTTAAGTGGTCAATTAACAACCACTTGAGGATCTCCACCACTTGCCTTTCCAACAAGCATTAAAAGTGGCTGCCTTTTCCAATGGAGAGGATGTGTGCTGGGTTTTATGGGTGGTGGGGGTGGGGTGGGGGTCCCTTCATTTGTATCAATCTCATTGACGTCGGTCTGCTATCCACATCCTGCGATTCACTTTTTGAAACAAAATATTAAAATCTACTTACATTCTTGCCATTGCAGTTCTGCATTATCACCGGGTGGCCAGGGTGCATACCAATCTCCAGCCCCTGTAGGCTTCTGGCCAGCAGTTTCTGGCAGGATGGAACTTTGATGTTGAGGTGTCTGACAGGCCGAGGTGTTTGCTGGTCAGCTCTCGAACGGCTGATTGGAGCTTGATCTGGTGGGCTAACTTGGTGGCACAGGTGGGGTGTTTGTTGCCCCTGAAAACTCCCAACACCACACTTAATGTAGAGGACACTAAATCTTGAACATAGATTCACATTTCAGGATAGTGAACGTTTCTTTAAATCTTTTTTTTAACATTTCCATAAAAATATTAGAGATTTATCATTTTTTTCTTCAAACCAGTGTTGGATTTCTGATTGATGATAATGTGAGGGGTCATGGGTTAGGAAGTCAGTGCGTTGTGCATTGGTGCTTGTCTGTATCAGGCCCAGATTTCAGGAGTTTGGCACCTTCTTACAGCTTTCCTGGGCCAATCTTAACAACAGGCAGCCCCAGTTACAAATGTCAATGGAGCTCCTGGTTGGAGAATGAAGGAAGAGTGATTGGAAAATTAAAGGAATCTATGAACCCTGTGATTGGTATTGTGATGGTTCTCACCTGCTGTGGCTTTCTGAATTGAATTTTGTTGCAGAAGGGGTCAACTTAAGTAAAGGCTCAGCAACACTTTGTTTTCCCTTTATTTGGGTAAGGCAGCTGAAATGTCACGACTCAGTGCTTTGCTGATGAAGCAGTGAACTCTTACTTTAAAAGCCTGAAAGGACAAGGATTGCGAATGAGCTTAGCTTTGGAGAGGCACAGTATAAACTGAGAAGAAGCAAGTCTGATAAATATTATTACGCAGTAACAAGTTGCCTTGTGAACAGGAGACAATGACCTGATCAATATCCAGTGATTCCTGCTCTGAATTGTATTGACCCAGACAGGGTTAGCCTTAGCGGTGGCCCAGCATGCTTGAACCTTTTGGTAACATCCACTTTCTCGTCTTTTGCACCACGCTGCCCACTTACGTCAGATACTGAAAGGGCTGCTGGCTTTCATAAAACCTAGAATGAGACTGCACTTCAGAAGAGAGTGAGAGTGCAGAAAAAAAAATTCTAATTTTCTTTTATAACCAGGCCATTCGTGATGGAGTGATCGAGGCGTCTATTAACCATGAGAGAGGATATGTCCAGTCTAAAGAGACCATCGACATTTATGGCACAAGAGAGCCACAGCTGGCATTCCACCAGAGAATCTCCTTCTGTCTGGATATCCATAACATGTCTGTCAAAGTAAGGCAAAAACACACCTGGCTGTTTCCATTGTTGATGGAATTGAATTTTTTAGGATGATCAATAAGGATGTAATGAACAATTAATTCTGGCCCATAGTTTTCAGATTGGAGTAATACGTTAACCATTTTTTTTTCCCAAAAATCTTTTAAGGTTGGATTATCTTGCTCAGCTCTTTCAGATAATTGTTTGGCTTGTTTTTCAGATGAACTGAGTGCTTTTCTCAGCAAAATATTACACTTACATGTTTTTTAAAACTACCTTTTCTGCTTGTAGATTGGAAGCCAGTGCAGTATTTGTATGAGGGGTGAAAACATTTCTTTGCATTCATTGGATTTGGTTGTTGCCAGCATAAGTGAACTGGCTGTTTTTGTATGACAGTCGAGTTACATGGCCACTATCACTGATACATTAGGTCGGGTTTTATTGTTGATTCCATATTTATTAGTTGTATTTAAGTTCCCCAGCTGCCTTGGTGGAACATAAACCCGATTCTCTGGCTCTGGGTGACCAGTCTAGTACCATATCCAATTTGCTGCTGTTTTTGACAAGGAGTGAGCAGTGAATAAGGAACATAGCCTTGTGGTGCAGTTTATACGACTTTTGTAGAATCTGATTCTCCAGTCCTTAATGTTTAATTGTAATTAATTTTGTGAACTAGACATTACATTTAACAAATGTGGCCAGGTTATTTTGTAGCAATTGATGTCATTTGTTTTCAAAAACAATCTTAAAGGCCAGTATTGTGCAGCCCAGTGCCATGTGTACGCAGCTGCACTAGGTTATTGGCTTTGAAGTGAATAAGATCTCTGTGGCCACAAAGTGCTTGATCTACCAGCTGCAATTGGTTAATTACAGCTTTATGATAAAAAGTATTCAAATGTGACTCAAAGCTAATGTTCAGGATGCTGGTTCTAGAACCAAACAGAATGCCCCTCAGGGCTGTTCTTCTGTATCAGAATATAAAGATAGGTTTCTCATTTAGAACTTATTTATTCTAACTTCTAGAAAGCTTAAATTGTCCATTTCTGCTTTACAGGCAATGCGATTCCCACCCAAGTCATACAACAAAGACCTGGAGTCAGCTGAGGTGAGGTTTCCATTGATGGAAGTAACAAACGTAGGGAAGGTGTTTGGGGTTTTAATGGGGTGACAGAGATTATCTGGAGGAACTGATTAGAGAGGTGGCTTCAGAAGGTAATGTTTGACGAGTTCAGATATCTTCAAAAGGTTTACAGGTCTTTCTGGTAAAGGTTAGGGACTGGGATGGTCTCTTTCAGGAAGGCACGCATACAACATAACAGACTGATTCTCAAAATGTGTTCCCATAGGATAAATGCCAGAATAATAGGCTGGAATGATGTCTGACTGGAAAGTAGACCGTGTAGATTGGGAACATTACTTGAATGGATGACAGTGGAAAAGCCATGGCAAACTTTGAAAGAGTGAATGAGTGATCTTCACCAATTGTTCATTTATGTCTCGTGCAAAAGTACGACAGGAAAGGTGACTAAACCATGGCTTACGAGGAAAATTAGATACTGTATTCATCTTTGTTAGATCTTACACTAATTGGCCAGAGAAAACAACAGACCTGAGGAGTTGGAGCAGTGTGAATTGAACAATGGAGGATGAAGGGTTTTAAGTCACCAAGTCATACGGCATTGAAACAAACTCTTCTGGCCTATTCATCTATGCTGACTAAGTTTCCCAAACTAAACTAGTCCCACTGATAGTAGGAACTGCAGATGCTGGAGAATCTGAGATAACAAGGTGTAGAGCTGGATGAACACAGCAGGCCAAGCAGCATCAGAGGAGCAAGAAGGCTGACGTTTCGGGCCTAGACCCTTCTTCAGAAATGGGGGAGGGGAAGGGGATTCTGAAATAAATAGGGAGAGAGGGGGAGGTGGATACAAGATGGATAGAGGAGAAGATAGGTGGAGAGGAGACAGACAGGTCAAAGAGGCGGGGATGGAGCCAGTAAAGGTGAGTGTAGGTGGGGAGTTAGGGAGGAGATAGGTCAGTCCAGGGAGGACGGACAGGTCAAGGGGGAGGGATGAAGTTAGTAGGTAGGAGATGGGGGTGGGGCTTGAGGTGGGAGGAAGGACAGGTTAGGGAGGCGGGGACAAGCTGGACTGGTTTTGGGATGCGGTAGGGGGAGGGGAGATTTTGAAGCTTGTGAAATCCACATTGATACCATTGGGCTGCAGGGTTCCCAAGCGGAATATGAGGTGCTGTTCCTGCAACCTTCGGGTGGCATCGTTGTGGCACTGCAGGAGGCCCAGGATGGACATGTTGTCTGAGGAATGGGAGGGGGAGTTGAAATGGTTTGCAACTGGGAGGTGCAGTTGTTTAGTGCGAACCAAACGTAGGTTCGCTGCAAAGCGGTCCCCAAGCCTCCGCTTGGTTTCCCCGATGTAGAGGAGGCCACAGCGGATACAGTATACCACATTGTCAGATGTGCAGGTGGACATCTGCGTGATGTGGAAAGTCTTCTTGGGGCCTGGGATGGGCGTGAGGGGGGAGGTGTAGGGGCAGGTGTAGCACTTCCTGCGGTTGCAGGGAAAAGTGCCGGGTGTGGTGGGGCTGGAGGGGAGTGTGGAGCAGACAAGGGAGTCCCAGAGAGAGTGGTCCCTCCGGAAAGCAGATAAGGGTGGGGAGGGAAACATGTCTTTGGTGGTGGGGTCGGATTGCAGATGGCGGAAGTGTCAGAGGATGATGCGTTGGATCCGGAGGTTGGTGGGGTGGTACGTGAGGACGAGGGGGATTCTGTTTTGGTTGTTATTGCGGGGAGGGGGTGTGAGGGACCTCCGACACTTCCGTCCTCCCTGGACAGACCTATCTCCTCCCTAACTCCCCACCTACACTCACCTTTACTGGCTCCATCCCCGCCTCTTTGACCTGTCTGTCTCCTCTCCACCTATCTTCTCCTCTATCCATCTTGTATCCACCTTCCCCTCTCTCCCTATTTATTTCAGAATCCCCTTCCCCTCCCCCATTTCTGAAGAAGGGTCTAGGCCCGAAACGTCAGCCTTCTTGCTCCTCTGATGCTGCTTGGTCCGCTGTGTTCATCCAGCCCTACACCTTGTTAAGCTAGTCCCACTGCCTGCATTTGGCCCATATCCTTCTAAACCTCTTCTATTCATACCTATTCAAACGTCTTTTAAATGTTGTAACACTACTTGACCTACCACTTCCTCTGGCAGCTCATTCCACACACGAACTATCCTCTCTGTGAAAAAGTTGCCCCTCAGGTCCCTTTTAAATCTTTCTCCTCTCACCTTAAAATTATGCCCCCTAGTTTTGAACTCACCCGTGATAGGAAAAGACTTTTGCTGTTCACCTTATCTGTGCCCCTCGTGATTTTATAAACTTGTATAAGGTCACCCCTCAACATCCTATGCTCCAGTGAAAAAAGTCCCAGGCTATCCTTTATAACTCAAACCTTCAAGTCCTGGCAACAGCCCAGTAAATCTTTTCTGAACCCTCTCCAATTTAATAATATCTTTTCCTATAGCAGGATGACCACAACTAGACACACTACTTCAAAAGTGGCCTCACCAACATCCTGTACAACTTAAACATGGCGTCCCAACTCCTATACTCAATGGTCTGAGCAATTCAGGCAAGGGAAAATGGAATGCGAGTAACCTTCGGGGGAACATAAAAACTGACTCTGGATGTTTATGTGTATGTGAAGAGAAAACGATTGGTGAAGACAAATATAGGTTCCTTACAAACAGAAACAAGGGGGGTTAAGCTTGAAGTGATTGTTTTAAACTCCAGCGAATATAATCCTAATGAGGTGGGGGAGCGGATCTCATAGAACCCTATAAAATTCTAACAGGACTAGATAGGGTACATGCAGGAGGAATCCAGAACTAGGGGTCGCAGTCTAAGGATGCACAGTAAATTTAGGATTGAGGTGAGGACAAATTTCTTCACCCAGAGAGTCATGTGCCTGTGGAATTTGCTACCACAGAATGTAGTGAAGCCCAAAAAATTGTATGATTTCCTAGGATTTGGAAATAGCACTGAGGCTAAAGGGATGAAAAGAGATGGGGAACATGTGGGAACAGGTATTGAATTGGATGATCAGCCATAAGGGTGGATTGGCCATTATGGTAGAGGAGGATTGAAGGGCTTAATGGCCTACATTGCTCCTTTTTTTTTGGTTTCAATACAGAAAGGTGGCGCATTGAAACGGGTAACTGGTGCTGTTGGTCAGGGATTAGTATTAGGACTACACAATATTATCTATCTTATATGTGTGGTGAGCACTGAGTACTTCTAAAGTGCCCAGAGCTGTGAATGCCACCCAAATGGTTGCAATAACAGTGATGATGTATGAGCACTTAGAGGTTTAGACAAGATATATCATTGGCCAGAGAGATGGCAGATGGAGTTCAAGACAATACAGTCGAAGTGATGAAACTAGTGGAAGCACAAGAATGAGTAAACATTAAGCAGTTATCTAGAATACACTGTCTGAAAGCTGTGATCGAAGTTGCCACCTTTGCACTCTCAAAGGTGAATTGGATAATTGCCTGAGGAGAAAACTCATGCAGAGCTACAGGGAAAGATGGGGGAATCGGAGCCAGCATACTCGCAATAAGCTGAGTAGTCCCCTCTGTTGTAACCATTCTCTGACATGCTTCAAGTGACAGCAGAGGAGGGAGATTTGTGGGAAATTGTTGGATAGGTCGTTAAAATCACTTTTGCAGGCACTAAACAAAACAAAGAAGGCATGACTTGCAAGGTTGTGTCAAACATTCATGCCAAATCAATATAAATGTCTTTAATTTGGGTGTTGTGAGAAAGCATTGAATTATTTTTAAGAATATCGATGGTGTTAATTACTAAATTTAAGAGGGCAATTTTACAAGAAGTTTGAAATTCCTAGGCATCACTCTGTAACTGGGCAAGACTTAATTGAGGTTTTGAGTTTTCCATGGCCATAAAAATCTCTGGATTCAGGAAAGGTCTGGGAGCATGGGACTTGAGGAACAAATTAAAATTAAGGGGATCAAACGAAACTAGTGCTTTTTCTGTAAAAATAGAACAAGAGATTTGTGGAAAAGAAAATGGTGAGGCTATAAAAAAGAACTGGATGAGTGCCTAATGTGATAGAGGGTCATTCATTTCAGAATCTTAGTAATGTAGCACTTTTGCTTCAGAAGGTTCTGGGCTCACCATCTGCTCCTAAGACCTGAATTTGTGACAGTGTTAACAATCACAGTACAATACTGACCGACTTCTCCTTATTGGTGATACCATTTGTCAAGTATTGAGTCATGTCCCTTTTTCCTGTTCTGGTGGTTCAAATATAGTTTAACAATCCTTCTTGTTGAAAAGAGCAGGAAATTTTCTCTGTTGCGGCCAGCATTTCTCCTTGATCCAGCTCCACCAAAGAGAAGCAAATTAACTGACTCTTTTAGCTGCTTTTGACATCTTCCTGCACGCAACCTATCTACGTCAACCCAACAGGAGGTACTGCACTTCAGTGTAGTTAATTCCAATGGAAGTGCTTTGGAAACATCTCTGTGAAATATGATACAAAATTATAATGCAGTATGGATAAAATTTTCAAATGCATTTATGTGAATGCAAGGTCCAGATTTCAAATGGCATCTCTGCCTTACAGGAGCGGCGAGAACGGGAACAGCAAGACCTGGAGTTTGCAAAAGAAATGGCAGAGGATGATGATGATGGATTCCCATGAGCATGTATGGGATGTTGATTCTGAAAAACTTGGAATACTGTAACTGCAAACAGTAAAGATAAATAAAACCAGAATCGTGACTTTAAAGTATGGTGGCAGCCCTTTAATAGACTTGAGTCTGTCTGGATGTTTGCAAATGGGAGTGTTAAACTTGCCAAACCAGGTTTGACACATCTTTACCTGTTCGTATTTTTCTTAATTTGCTGTTGTTTTCTGAGGAATAGTTACCTTTTGTCCCTTTAAGCCTTGTAAACAATACCTTCCTGATGATAAATATATGGTTAATAAAACCGATAACAAATGTTTGATTTTTTTTTTAAATGTCTCCTTGCATGGGTGGCTAAAATGACAAAAACACTTCTATTGAGCCTAGTCAAACCCGATTTTAGAATCTTCTCCCGTACATCCTGTTCTGACTGGTTTGAACAGTAGAGAATTATCGGGTCTCAGCCGTTAACATTGGAATGGTTTTGAGAATTACTGATAAATACTTGGGATGCACAAAATCTCACAATGCTTCAAAAGATTTCTTTATTATAAATGGTTCGTAGTTATCAATTGAAAGTATTGGATTGATGTTACTTTTTAATAAACATTAGCTTTCTGGACCTGTGTGTGTGCTGGCACGTCAAAAATGGTAAGACCTTAGCCTTGTATGATGGTGTGGTGGTGAAAGACGACCAGGAGCAAACCCACAGAATGCAGGAAAACTTTAAGATTCAATCTCCAGTTTCTGATTCAGCTAATCTTAGCCGTTGGCCTGTACATCTCTGGAGTAGGAATGAAATTCTCACCAAGTCTTATCCATTGACTCATGTTGGAAATGCATGCATCTCTGCGTCATTGAGGTAGGATAGGATTGGTCTTGATTGTCAATACTCATTTATTAGGTCTACACACGAACAGTAATCAGACAAAGGTGCTAAACCCACTTTTCAATTTTGACCTGGATCTGTATTTGTTGACTGAATATCAATTCTTTCCTTCACTTGTGTCTGTGTAAGTACATTTCACATTGGTCATTGATGATCTACAATGAGATTCCTCATTTTATTTCCAGTGATGTTCAAACTAGTTACAATGCCCCTGTTGCTGATCAGTAAAGATTTTTTTTATTGGTGTTAACTAGGCTTAAGGAAAAAGTGTTGTTGAAAATACTGAGCAGGTCTGGCAATATCTACAGAGACAGAAACAGAAATAACCTTTCAGATCCACCGTGACTGTCCTTCAGAACCATCATTTCTCACCTGAAACTTTATTTCACTTTTTCTCTCCACAGATCCTGAGACCTGTTTAGTAATTTCAGCACTTTTTTTTTAAACTTTCAGATTTCCAATATCTGCAGTATTTTGCTTTTATTATAAGAATGAGAACTCTTCTGATTCACCTGCTCATTAGATAAGCCCATTGAGGTATGGAGGGGTATGTCTTTAATATTTGAAACACAACTGCATGTTTACTGCAGTGTGATACCCCACCAAGATCATGCACTTAGTTCTCATTTGCATTTTGGCGCTAGTTAAAAATGAGAGTTCACAATGAAGTTTGATCTGTAAAACACAAGCCTGTAAATGGAGCAGGAGAATAATGAAAGCATCCTATTGCTGATCTGACAAAACTTTGTGCTCACAAACACAATAGTACTAATATTTATAAAATGTCTTTTGTCAACATGTCTTTTTTCCAAAGATGTGCGGGTTAGATGGATTGGCCATGCTAAATTGTCCGTGGCATCCAGGGATGTGTAGGCTAAGTGGATTAGCCATGGGAAATGCAGGGTTACAGGGGTAGGGTAAGGGGATGGGTCTGGGTGAGATGCTCTTCAGAGGGTTGGTATGGACTCAATGGGCCGAATGACCTGCTTCCACATTGTAGGGATTCTATGAACATCTGAAATTCTTGATGTTGAATTACTTTTGAAGTGCAGTGACTTTATGTAAAGGAAATCTTGTATGAACTCTTTACACGTGATCAATGGAAAGCATAACTTGTATATGTCACCTTATTCCCTTTTAACTTGGGGTTTTGTGGCATAGATTGTGTTTCAGTGGTCATTGGGATTAGAATGCAGTTATAGGCCCATGTCTGATGTTGAGCATTACTCCTGTTACAATACTTGAAACAAATAAAATTACGTCAGACCCTGAGGGTAGAAATGGAGAGATGTTTCCTTTTTATTGGGAAAATTTAGAACTGGGCGTCACTGTTTAAAAATAAAGTAAATTTGAAACAGAGATGAGGGATGTTTTTCTCCTGAGAGGGTTGTAAGTCTATGATGCCAACCCGTTTACATGAAGAGAGTTTGAGTCTTTGATTATTTTCAAGGCAGAGGTGAATAGATTCTTGGGAAGCAGGAAGATGAAAGATCGTTGGGGCAAGCAGGAATGATTTGAAGTTGCAATTGGACCAGCAGTGATATTGAATGGAGGAGCAGGCTTCTCTTGTTCCTTGTTTATATGTTCATGCAATCTGCAAAATGCCAAAGGAAGTACATGGGCTGCAAATAAATATGGAGAGGAGAGAAAGTAAAATAAACTTGGAACTAAAACCAATATATAAATATGGTTACACCCTCAGATTAATCTATCTTCCACAGTTAAACCTCACTGTGGAGTTTGAGTTCAGTTGTAACAGACCCCATGGTCAGTTATCCACAAGGTGTGGCTCCTTAACTTTTTTTCAGCCAGGGTTTGAAGCTCAATACGTTTACGTATGTTAATCTACCTTGACAATGTTAATCTATTAATTTCAGAAATTATGAAGAAATATTGTTTAGTCTCTATGACTACCAAGTGTATGATACAAAGGAATGGTCACGAGGTTGTAAATGTTCATCTAAATCCAATTTAAACAAGTGGGACATTTATTCCTGTGGATAATTATCGGAGTATTCTGTTTTCAAAATTGGTTGAAGGATGATATTGGCCAGTACAACTCCCACCTCTTTAAATGTTTTATATCCACCTGAGAATACAGATGAGGCCTCAGTTTGGCATTCCAAAAAAGCAGCACTTCTCAGGTACGTTAGTCTCAAGGATGTGCTCAAATCTCCAGTGTAGAACTTCAACCCACAGCATTCCGAGTCAGAGGTGAGCACACTACACTGAGTCAAGGGTGACTTATCATTTGAAGTATGCATATCTCTTAGACAGAAGTATAATGCAACAATAATCAACAATCTCATACAATTATGGCTGGCATTAAATCTTTCTCACTCCACCTGTTAGCAGGTGTTCTTTTGCCTGCATAAACGTTATGGCAAGGCTCAAGGACAGAAAGGGATGGCAAGAAACCTTTTAAATACCAAATAAAGGATGGCAGATTTAAAGCAGAATGGAGGAGAATTACCTCTCTCAAAGGATCATGAATCTGTGGAATTCACTACCGCAGAATGCGGTGGACACTGAAATGCAGAATAAACTTGAGATAGATTTTTAATTAGTAACACGTTAAAGGGTTATGTGGAGCAGGTGGGAAAGTGCAGTTGGTGGAGTAGACTCAAGGGGCTGAATGGCCTACTCCTGCTTTATGTTCTTATGTATATATTTGAATTATTTACTAATAAAGAATTGACCAGCTTGGTTGATTTTTTTAAGTAAGAATTCATTTAATTTCTATATAATGTTTCCCTACATTTAACATGTTTTAATACCGGATTTGGGATAGGCCAGCAGTGCTAAGGCAGAGGGCTGAGGCTGGGCTACATATGGTTATCGGGATCCGAGGAATACTGCAGGACTGAGAAAATCCTGGAGTGAGACTGGGCAGGAAAATGCCAGATCAAAAAGCAGTCAGCCTGCTTTCTGTAACTGTATTAGCCAAAGCACAAATCAAATGGTAACGCTAATCTTGTGATTAATAATGAGGGGAAACTTGACTATTCCTACACATACAGCCAGCCTTCCAAATGCAGTTTTGGTTTTGATGTTCAAAGGAGGAGGCAGTGGTACAGTGGTAATGTCATGGGCCTAGTAATCTAGGTTAATGTTCTGGGGACATGGGTTCAAATCCTACCAAAGCAGATGCTACAATTTGAATTTAATTAAAAAATCTAGAATTAAAACCTAACCCAATATTGATCACCCATAAGTGCTCAATTATCAAGGGAAAAACCCATCTGGTTCACTAATGTCCATTAGGGAAGGAAATCTGCCACCCTCACCTGGTTTGGCCTATGTGAGATTACAGACCCCACAGCAACATAGCTGATCCTTAACTACCCTCTGGGCAATAAATGCTGGCCTGGCCAGCAACACTCACATCTTGTGAATGAATTTTTAAAAACTTGGTCTTGAGGTGCAGTACCCTCCCTGTAGGTATGATGCCCACACCAAGACTTGTAGGTACTGAAAAGATGCATGAGGGCTCAGAAATGGATTTACCAGGATATTGCCAGGAATGGAAAGTTTGAGTTATAAAGATAAGTTGGGACCTTTTTCATTGGAGTGTAAGAGGTTGAGGGGTGACCTTATTAGAGGTTTATAAAATCATGAGAGGCATAGCTAAGGTGTAGCAAGGATCTTTTCCCTAGCCTGGGGAGTTCAAAACTAGGAGGCAGATTTTTAAGATGAGTGCAGAACAATTAAAGAAGGAGATAAGGGGCAACCTTCTTGAACAGAGAGTGGTTCCTGTGCAGAATGAACTGCCAGAGGGTGTGGTGGATGCAGGTACAGTTACAACAATTAACAGACATTTGGATAAGTTCATGAAGATGAAATGTTTGGAGGGACATGGGCCAAATGCATGCAGGTGGCACTAGTTTGGTTTGGGCATGTGGTCGGCATGGACTGGTTGGACGGAAGGGTCTGTTTCCACGCTGTATGACTCTAAGATGTTGTGGAGCTGAGATAACTGACCTCCAGCAACCATAACCATCTGCTTTTATTCCAGGTATGACTCTGCAAATCTGAAGAAGGGTCACTGGACCCAAAACATTAACCCTGTTTTCTCTCCACTGATGCCACCAGGCCTGATGAGTTTCTCCAGCAATTTCTGTTTTTGTTTATGACTCTACAAATGATGATAGAAGAGAAATTAGCTCATATTCAAGATCACAATTACTCTCCAGTTGTCACATCTTACAAGTT